GGAGAGTAGGAGAAGGGCGGGGAGAGGGGCTGTTTGTTGCTGAGAGGTGATTACGCCCATACTCACGTGTGAGTGCTCCTCCTTTCCCCTCCCCCTTTTCCCACTGGGTTTACACGCGTCGTTTGCCGCCACTTTGTGCCCCTTGGCCTCTGCTCTGACCGGAGCCGGACCCGGAATTTTACTGCGGCTCAGGGGGAGGGAGGGGCGGGGGGAGGGTCCTGCGGCGTCGTTGTGACGCTGTTGTGGCACCCGGGATTGTGGGCTTCTACGCTGCGATGTCTTGTCACGTAGGAGTGCGAAGGGGAAACAGGGACGGGTCGAAGAGAGGCTTCTGCTGGCCTGGGCCACGCGAGTACACACTGAATGTTGGTGCACTTCTTTAGAGTCTCTTGTTGCTGTCTGTACCCGCATAGGTAAAAGTTTCCCGCAATTTAGAAAGATTGCCGAATATTTCCCGTTTTTTTCGCACTATGATTTTGTAACAACGGCAATCTTTATCAAAACGGGAAATCCCTTACCTTCAGGTAGGGGACTGTCTAATAATCGCAGACAGGCTGCAACGTCTGTGCTGTGTGAGCTGTCATCGCTCTGCTCCTTGGACTACCCAGTGGACCTCGCGCCCTATGGCCGTTCTCCGCGCCGCACTTGAGTCACTTGTGTCACTTGTGAGTCAGCACTGCCCCCCCCCCCTCCCCCTACTTTTAGAGTGCAGGCTAATGTATGTATACATAGGCTACCACAACGCCTGGTAGGTATGCAACACCTTGCCTGCAGTACATGTGTGTACTGCGGGCTGGCCCACCCTGCGGTTCGCAGGCGCCAAGCTCCCATTATTTGCCGAAAACGGGCGTACATTCTGGACGATCTGTTTATCCTACTCGACTCGGTGAAGGTGCTACCTGCTCCTCCAGAAATATGCCTCAGTTTCAGAATACTTGAAAGGAGTTTTACTACGTACATAGAAAAATTTCACTTCCCATAACGTGTTGGAAATATACTGGATAATTGTGTCATTTCCCCAATACACTTGGGGATTCCTCGTGCAGCTGTGGCTAAAGTCACAATTGAAAATGAGATTCACTATACATGCATAGTAAATTGTACTTGCAACAGAGTTTAGGAAAATATACGAGACAAATGTGGCATTTTCCCACACATTTAGGGATTTTCCTATACATGCCTTGCAGTACATGAAAATTCCTACACATTTATGGCAATTTTCACGTCCCATACGACGTATGGGAAATTTTCTATACCTGCGTATGATGTTGAAATTCCCCCAAAAATTTACAGTAGAGAGCATCAGCCAGTTTGGGCGAAATAAGAATAATCTCCCCCCGCTCGGGGGTGAGAACAAATTTTCTCTTCTTTCGGGCCAGCTTAACCACTGAAAAGTTGTCGGACGGGGTACAGGAAAATTTTCCACGAGAGATGTCGTACAATTACAATTCAAAGTTGTAAATTTACTTGCACTGCGTATCGACTTGGAATGGAATTACAAGCAAGAGGTGGAGGTTGTTCTTGTTGAACCCATTTTGCAGTTGGTAAGGTACAAATTATATCGTACATGTACGAACACATTACGACCGCACTACTTCAAGAGATTTCAGGTGCACTGTGGGTTCAAGTTTGTCACTCGGATTCTTGGAACAGTTTTCCCTATACATTTGAGGTATGTTTCCCCCCCCCCCCCCTGCGATTTGCTCCTGAATTTGCGTGGCGTGCCTGTTCCGGCTCGGTACGCACTTTATGTACCTAACTTTCTGACCTTGCAGAGTTCCAGAGAGGTGGGGAGTGTGGCGTCCGCGACTGTCAACGCGAGTGACATGACGATAGAACGCTAAGGGAGGGACGCGGTCGCGCTCTCGTTAACAGTCCACGGTCCTTTCATCCGTTGTAAAATAATAAAACGTGAACTCTTTGCCATCCACGTGATTGAGGTGTGAAGGCCGACCGTGCCTGGCTCCTAGCGCAGCTGCCTCTTAGTTTTTTTCTGCGATTATGGTGCCTCACGAACGATGCCATTATCTGTCGGAATTTGTAAAACGGATGTGGTACTTGTCTATCGCGGGATACCTGTCTGCGTCGCGCACTGTGACTTCGAGTCGCGAACTACTACCTGACGTGCCTGACACAATAAGTGCGACTAAAGCTCCCGCGCGGGCTTCGAGGGAGGGAACGCGAGGAAGCACATGTTCATGTACCCCAGCTGACGGCAGAGGTTGTGCCGGAAATGAACAACCCTAATCTCTGCCTCGCTAAATGTATTTTATGTTTTTGTGCAAATGTTCGCACTAACTCAACTCAAACCTAGTGTTTTGTTTCGTACTAATTTTTGCGCAAAAATCGTTGATTTTGGACAAAGAATTGCACATAAAAATTCAAAATAACGCACGTTGCAAAAAACTATGACAGGAAAAATGACAGCTTCGACCGCTTATTATTTTCCAGCAACGTCTGTTATTCGAAAAACAGTATTGCTGTAGTTTCAATGGGTAAAATTTGGTACCAGGAGCAATGTGCAGGGCCACCGTACAGGAAAAACTGGTGAAAACTGTCTACAGTGGAACCGTATTCGTACACTCGGCTGTAAAACCTGGGCTTTCCGGTGCTATAGCGACACCGTACTCCGCGCTCTGTAGGTGCAGTGACTAAGAGGAGCATCTCCAAAAACGCCGTAGGTCGTTCCGTATTAGACTCCAATTTTTTTACAGTTCTGAAATGTGTGCAAACAATTTGATTTGTTAGAATCCGTGCGGATTAAAGATACAAAATCCAGTAAGTGCGTGTTGTTGTTGTAGGGTTAAGCTAAATGTGATGATTAGCATCACTATACCAAGATTAACACTCCACTGTTCTTTTTCTTTTATTCAAATGCACGTACTGGTCTGCTGCTATTTAATTTTGTTGATGTTTAGCTTGTTTTCGATACAGTCCTTGGTACAGTCTGTGCGAATACACGAAAACATGCACAAACCCTGCCGGCTTTTGCATCAACAGCTTTGATGTCAACTCGCCACTTTCCATAGAAGAATACTGGTACTGCCTTTGGTGGTGCTATTGATGCGGACGAAACATTGTTAATGGTGTATATTCCCTGAAACATAACAAGTAGCGTACACGGGACCGTTAAAAGATTTCTATAATACGAGTTCTAAATTTTCACTGCAATATTGCGGCCTCATAATTTGCCTGCCAATAATCTGATTTTCTATTAAAATGCTTAGGGGGGTGTGGGGTGTTGATAGCGTGACATTCCGTAATATGTGTGTGTGTGTGTGGGGGGGGGGGGCACGGGCACTGTTAGTGTTAAATTCCTACAAAGCATTCGCTTTGCAGAACTGCGAAGTATTTTGATCCTTTGTAACTACGAAGCATTTACTTTGCAATTACAAAGTGACGCCTTTTGTGACGGTGCGTGACATGGGGGGAGGGGGTCAAAAAGTCACGTAATATGTGAACGACCACTTACAGGTGATATTTTTGTCACACCGTCAGTTAACTAATTACCTATCACAGCTCATTTTTTCCCGTCTTTGTGGCCTTTTTTCTCCTTGTTGAATTTGGTATTACATGCATGTTCGAGGCGGTCAAAACCACAAGAACACACAAGTAGTTAAAAAAAAATGTTATTCACTGAATCTTGCCGAAAAAAATATTCTTAGTATCCTTAGTGTATACCAAACATAATTTCGATAGTGGTTCACTTTTACCTAGTGAGGTCTACTGTAAAAAATGATTAAATGTGTTACACGCATCTGAAATCTGAAAATACGGAAAACCAAAGGTGGCCCTTTACTAAACACGTCATTTAGACGCCTTAGGCAAAAATTTCAACCGTGTCGGCGTATCTCTTCTAGTGTCTGAAATAATTTGAATTTTCTTCAAAAACATCATTATTTTAAAATGACCTCCCAATCAGCCATTAATAAAATTAGAAAATATCTTTCGGCCTGTTCCTTGATACAGCTTTCTACTAATAGGCAATGTTGGCTGACCTAACAATTGACTTCGTTTTCAGGGTGAAAAATGGTTGATTTTGCTTGTGTGTCCGTGCGTCACGTTTTTTGTCTGTGCGTAACGGACACCTCACATTTATTTGCAGGTTACTGACCATGTCGGAATCAAAAATGCCACCGGGGTAGTGTTGGCACAACATCAGCAGGGAATTTTGTCCGAAACTCATACGTTTCGAATTGGCATATTTTTAAAGATTAGTAACACCATGTAAAGAAACACTCCTTTAATACGTTTGTTCGTCACGTAAGTTTGAAGGGCTGTCGATTTAGAACAAATCATGGTTTACAACGTGGTTGAAAACCATAATGAATCCGCAGCTAGATTCTTAAATCGTTGAGTTCACTTTCAGAATTCGAAGTCTGTTCGAAGGTACCTACATAGACAAAAGACCGCGAAAAAAGGCGTACGAACGTCCGTTCGTCACGCGTGGTTTTGCCAGGTTTTGCCGAGGCCTCTTTGTAACATTTTTGACATAATAAATATATATAATTGAATTTCTTGATAAAGTATACTATTTGACATGCACGAAGAAATGAAAAATGGTGGCAAGCAAAGAGAGTTTACAGTGTCCTCAGTGGTCACAAAGAGCTAATCGTGAACTTACCGGCGGGAACGGACAATCTGTGGCTTTAGTTGATGACTCCAGTACCGACATGACACCGCTCCAAACCCCTGGAAGGTACTGTTTGCACTGCGTACATGGACGCTTGAACTTCATCGTCAAAGCGTTCTCCTTCCACCCGCCGCGTGAGCTCCATGAAGCAAAGGCGAGATGTGCCTTGAAAATAAAGCAATTACTTTACTTGCTCGTTTACCTAACTTTTAGAGACACGGTGCACATTGTGCACCCTGTGCTCGTTGCAGTCATATAGGTTCCTTTACTCGGAAATAGATTCAGTTATGATTCCTGCTCGGTGTACTGCCTAAAAATGACCAAACGGTGTTGCTGGCCCACGCTTACCTCCTTCTCGTCGTTCAGTGTAGCAAACGAAGACATGTTTGCATACACGAACCAAATGTTCTGATTATGACGGTCGCGCGTAAGATGGAAGTCGATTGGGAAAGGCAAATCTAGGATCCCCTCCGGGCACGCTTCAGCGCGTTCTGGGATAATTGAGTACGGGCCCTGTCACGGGGCAAGCCGTAAAATGTTTATAACAATATTTTTGATCTTTAGAAACGCTGTGCGAAGAATTTAAGCATTCATAGATGTAGGACCTTATGGAACATCATAAACATACCGCCAACATTTCTCCGTAACAAGGGCCACTGGAGAGAAGTGCAACGATCAGAAGTGAGACTTCCATGATATCAGCTTCGTTAAGAATGAAACCATGGGGTAAAGGTTTTGCAATCTAACGTTCGATGATACCATTTGCTTGGCTATTCAATGAAGGGACCACGCCGTCTGTTGCAGACTCCCTCTGACATAAGCGAACGTGCATTTGTGCATGGCATGTCTCCTGCCAAACGCTGATTTGTTGGCATATCTTATCACAACATCAGATTAATGACTTCGAAGTGCTCTCTTCCATGAGGCATAGTGAACAAATGCAGTTTCGCATGCGCGGATTGCAGACTGTTTCTCTACGAGGACCGCATTGGTAATTTTGGCTGTACATATGGCATGTAAACTGGCTATCAGGGTGGTCGAACACACATTTTTGTTCAACCTCATGGAGTAACGACTGCACCGCGCACTTGTGGCTGCTCCCATTGCATTGCTAACTCTTGGTCACCCTTTCTTTGGGGTACGGGAGTCGCTGCGGCTCGCTTTTGATGTACAAATTACAAGTACCTTAAACTCCCCGCAGTTTGTTATCTTGGTGACTATTCCGCGTGGTGCACCCCCACTCATGCCAAATCTTTTAAAAATTTGATTCGTATATCTCGTTGCTGTTTTGTTTTTGTAAGTTAAGTCCATTAAAAAATCCATGTCGCGATTACAATAATTGTTCACGGAAACATGCTGACATTGCAAGTGTTAAACTTGGAACTTGAAAGTGTTTAGCACCATGTCGCAAGTGCTTCAGTGGAGAGATAATATTTTGCAAGTTTAGTGCCAAAAACTGAACACTTTCAAAGGAAAACATATCTTCAAGTTAAACTTAGAAGGCATCCCTTTGAGATAGTTTCCTTGAAATTATTCATATTTGCATTCAAACTGTTGTAAAATATGCGACACGGTAACTTCTTACAAGTATTTCCCCGTTGAACGCCTGAAATACCACACTGTAAACAACTGTGTACATACACTGTAAATGGGTCGGCGTATTATGATGCCAAAATATTGGCGTCCTCTATAGAACGCCAAATTTTGGCGTCATAAGACGCTAATTCTTGGCGTTAAAGAAGGCCAAAATTTGGCGTCTTAAGACGTCAAACTTTAGTGTCTTCGGATTTGGCGTTATAGGACGCCAATATTTTGGCGTCAAAAGACGCCAACCCATTTACAGTGTAGTACACTCTTCCCTTGTGTGTACTTGAAAGAGCAATTATGAACAAATTTGGAAATATATTTGCAGTTCTGCACAATTTAAGTGTCTATAGGGCTGTTTCAACTCTAGCCAAATACATCCGAAACCGAGTCTGAAACCCTGTGGCAGCGCGCTAGCCGCACGCTTGTATGATGACGAGGAGAGGAGAGGAAGCAGGAGGTAGAGATATTCTAGTCAGTTGTTGCCTGCTCGTTTGTATTTTGAAGTATATTCTACTATTTTCAAGGTTTAACTTTTTACCATACTGTGCCCTGCTGGTGTCGCTAGGCTGGACTATGATTGCCCATCCAAAACGGTGCTATCGCTAGCCAGATTAATAGGGCTTCTGAACCCTACCTCTAGATAGGGCAAGCAGTGGAGGGAAAAATCTGGCACTCGCGTCTCCGATCCCCGACAAAATGATTCGGTTTCTCAAATGTATCGATTCAAGTAATGAGTACTCACTACACTGCTATACTAAGTGAGCAACTCCTTGACACTTAATAGTACTCAACTCCGTTCTTGCGCATTTTCAAGTATTCAATTCGGGAGCTACACTAGTTAAGTGTGCAACTCGTCTGTTGAACACTTACTCAGATTGGACGCTGCGTGGGAGGTGTTAAAAAGGGCAGTTGCACACTTGTAAGTGCACAAGTACCGGTTTGAACTCTAAAAAGTGTGCTACTACGTAGTTGAACACATGCAAGTTGCAACTTACATGCACTCTTAATTGGAAAGGGCAATTTTGAGACGGACGGACGGGTGCTTTTTTCACCCCATAATTCTCCCTTATTCTTTTTCAACCCACACCCGCTTACCCCTGTGTACTACTAAAGCTCACTTGTACGATTTTTTCTACGAAGCCTCCACTATAATTCCCTCTTTCCTCTTTCCTCCCCTTTCCCTATTATTGCACCGCCCCTCCTGTTGGAGATTTTGCATCCTGCTACTTAGAGTATGCTCATTACTTCTTCGCTTAGTGCCATTATTTTGGCTCAGCTCTCAGTTAATCGTTATCTGGTAATTCTTCCGGGCCTATCTAATCGTCACACTGGACGCCGCCTCCACACTGTTCAACAAGGACTAAAATTATTATCACAAAAGTCGACGTCGTACTTAAAAATTGCAGTTTTAAACTGTAATGGCGTGTCACTGGGCGACATGAGAGAGGGGTAGACGAGCTGCCGCTTAACCATTTGCGCCGTCTGCGCTCCGGACGGTGGATAGGTCGGTGTGGGCTGTCAGCTACGCGGGCTGTGCGAAAACCTAAGGGGGAGTTTCGTTGGCTGGTCGAGGGGACTCTGTTGCATAGCTGTCGAGTGTGGCCGCCCTTTTTACCTTTTATCTGCTTGTTTGGGAACGCATGCATGTGTGTGGGAGAGAAGCGCCCCAGCTTTTATCTTTTAAGCGACTTATTCTGAGAAAGCTGTTGAATTGAAGATACTCGGACGTCCTTGCCTACGTCAACGCCCCCTCCCCATACACATGTACCTGTCCTGTGTGTGTTGGCGCAGCGTGCGGTGCACCTGTGATACGAAGTCCTGCCTTGTAGATATGCGAAGTCAATGAATACTTTTGTAATTACATAGCAGTGCTTTGCAAAAACCGCAAAGCAATGCTTTGTAGTCCACAAAGCATCCGAATTCTTTTCAACTTGCAAAGCGTCTGCACAGCATTGTTTTGCTGAAGTTGAACAGTGGTCAGTCGGTGCTTGGTCATCATAGTCCGTGCACCCGTGGTTTTGCACCCGCCCGTACGTGCGCCCCGTGCGCCTGTACCCCGTACGTGCGCAGGGATCGGGCCGCTGGGGCGGCTCGCACCGGCCTGTTATCTGGGTCATACTCACGCGTCAGCGCGCCCAAGCACGGGCCGCGGGTGCGGCTCCCGACCTGACGCGGTGCCCCAGACAACCGGCCCGCTCAGATATCAAATGCGTTTTATGTATTTAGCGACGCGTCATGCTTCAAGTCCGGCCTTTTGCAGAAGTGCGTGGCGACCACCGGCAGGCCGAGCAGGCCCGGTGATTTCCGTGCTAATGGGCACTAGCCGGTATGGCTTATTCCCCAGCTCTGATGACAACTTTATTTTTCGCGTCCTCCCC